AAATTTTAAAATAAAAAAAAAAGTTTTTATCCGTTTTAGGCAGCGAACCAACAAGCAACAATGCAAATTACAAACAATACATTTAACTTAAAAAACCGATATGAAACAAAATTTTTGGAATTATGAATACTAGAACGATTGTTTTTCTTAGTATAAGAAATATAGTAAAATATAAATGTGCATTGTTGTCAGAAAATAGATTAATTCGAATGTGTACATGTCGATTAAATAATTCAAAAATTTATTTGCGGAATGTTTGATTGAGTGGACTAGTTTTTGTTCCCATTAATCTGAGAAGCGTTTTGTTTTTTAGAGAAGGTTTATTTATTATTTATTAAACACACTAAACTTCTACAGATCGGCAGGAAGACCGTCAAACACCAATGATAACTCAGGAACATTGTTTGGTGGCTTTGAAGAAAACATGCGCCCTTTCGTTGCAAAGCATCACATTCCACAATGGAAACCGCAAATCATTTGAAGATATTGGAGGTCTGCACGATGTTAAAAATGTGCTGATAGAAAGTCTAATGTGGCCAGCAAAGGTATACTATGTTTACGTCTGCAAATATAACTAATTCGAATTTACATGTTTTACTTTAGTATCCCAACATTTTTTCTCACGCCCCACTCAGGCTTCAGTCGGGAATTTTACTGTATGGACCTCCAGGTACTGGAAAAACTTTGATTGCTGGCGCCGCAGCAAAGCAGTGTGGCTTGAGATTAATATCTATTAAGGGGCCAGAGTTACTTAGTAAATATATTGGAGCTAGTGAACAGGGAGTTAGAGATGTTTTTGTCAAGTGAGTACATAATTTTTAGCAGTTCTGGAAAAGTGACTTCATGCTTCATGCTGTTTGGTCGTTAATTTTGAGTTATTTTCAGAGCACAACTGGCGAAACCCTGCATTCTATTCTTTGATGAATTCGACAGCCTGGCGCCAAGGTACGCAAAAATAAGTCATTTTATAGGCTTTTTACAATCTCAGAATCATTATTATTGAAAGTCAGTTAATTTCTTTACTATTAGGCGGGGGCATGATAATACAGGAGTTACTGATAGAGTGGTGAATCAACTGTTGACGCAGTTGGATGGTGTTGAAGCTTTAACTGGGGTTTGTGTATTGGCCGCTACTTCAAGGCCGGATTTATTAGATCCAGCTTTGTTGCGACCCGGAAGATTAGACAAACAGCTTATTTGCTCCATGCCTAACTATGTGAGTTTTGTCATGTTTTTCCATAACAAGTCGATTACAATTACTAATATTAGTATAGTAAAACAATATTTTTTCATTTTATTCTAAAGGTCTGGAACATTTTGAAGAATTTTGAAAGAAATTTGAATTTGAGATCCTCTGTTGTTTCAGGACGATCGATTGGAAATTTTAAATATACTTTCGAGCAAGTTAGATTTAGCTGAAGATGTTAAGATGGAGGAAATTGCTCAGAAAACAGAAGGCTACTCCGGTGCTGATCTTCAATCTGTTCTGTTCACGGCGCAAATATCTACAATGAAAGATTGTGTGAGTACCGTAAGTACCTATCTTATTTATTATATTAAGGAACACTGCACTTGCCTTCACAATCTAAAATACCCTCGCTTAAAGAAAATACTTGTACAATGATGGAAAGTGTTATCTTTTGTGCATGCAAATAGGAGTAATTAAACGTCCAAATTAAAAATTCTATACCTATGTAGTATATATCATTTGTTGCCAACGTTTCGAAAGCTTAAGCGAAATTTCAGTCAGGTTAAGTTTGCGTCTGAAAATTTCTTCCGAAGTTTGGTTCTAATGGTACTCGTTTTCTCCAGAATTGTGGCTCTGATGTCTGATGGTGTCATTTTGAACTTAATTGCATTTGAATTTTATTTCTCTAGTCAAATTTTAAAGATTTGTGTTATAAGTTAGTCAATTAATCTTTTCTTTCTTTATTCTACTATTTTTGCATAAATGAATTAAAAACTCTATGTATACCAAATCGTTGTATTCCAAAACGCACTTTTAGTGTGGAAACAAAATAACAAAGTTCAGCTAAAAGTTAAGATCTATTCCAAATTTCCAATAGTTACAATTTTGAAGACAATACATACATGAATTAGAACGTTTTTTACCAATACCGGAACGAACCTTCTTACACGAATAATTTGAGTTTGAGGATGCCTATGTTCAGAAATGTTACTTCAAATATACAGAGTTAATGACCTTTATTTGTTCAATTGGGATACAGAATTAGGAAAAACATAAGTATAAGAATTAAACACTAATTAAACCGGAAAAATGTTGAAGTTACAGCCTTAACGAAATTAACGGATTTTTTTTAAAGCTGGAAACTTTTCCTCAGGGCCAGTTACATCAGACATTAATATTTGGACTTGAACGAATTTTTCATTTTAACATGTTATACAGAATATATTTCAGGATTCTATCGAAGCTCAGCCACTCAAAACGTCTCACGAGGTTATATTACAATCACTGTCACAAACGAAACCATCTTTACCAAAATCGGAACGCGCAAAGTACGAAAGAATGTAAGTACACTTTTATCCGAGCATAATAAAGTTGTATATGTTTTGAATTAGGTCAGAATCATCTGAATGGGGCTTAAGACCTCATATTAATTAATGACAAAACGAAGATTAATAAAAAGTTATACGAGGGCGGCCCGATAAGTACTGAGCATACAAAAAAAATACAAAAATTGTGTAAAATTGGTGACTTATTTTTCAACATAGTCTCTTTTTAATTCGATACACTTGTACCCAGCGATGCTCCAACTTCTTTAACCCGTCTGAAAAATACGTTTTATCGAGGTCTGCAAAGTAGGCTTCCGTGGTGACCTCCTCATTCGACTGAAATTTCTGCTCGGCGAGTACTTTTTTCGTTTTTGTTTTGAAATAAAAAGAAGTCACACGAGGCCAAATCTGGAAAATACGGTGGATGAGGCAGCAGCTCGCAGTCCAATTCGATCAATTTGGCTCTTGTGATGGCGGAGGTGTGAGTCGGTGGGTTGTCATGGTGGAAGAGCACTTTTTTCTTCGCCAAGGAAGATCAAACGTTGTGAATTCCAGAAAACGTCCTCGGAGCTCGTTCGCCTGGTAAAGTCCACTGTTTCTACTGTTCCTTGGTGTCTCGGGTTTGCCAGTGGATCCATGTTTCGTCGACGGTCACGAAACGACGCAGAAACTCCTTTGGGTTGCGTTTAAACAGCGTCAAACACTGATCTGAAGTGGTCTCACGGTTCTGCTTGTAGTCCGGAGTGAGCAATCGCGGCATCCATTGCACAAACAGCGTTTTCAGGCCCAAAACTTCATGCAGAATATGACCCACGCGGTCTTTTGATATACCTACTGTCTCAACTATCTCACGAATTTTCAGTCGGCGGTCTGCCAATACAATATCGTGGATTTTTGTTATGTTATCATCCGTGATAGCAATTTTCGGGGCTCCTGGGCGTGACTCATCAAAAACCGACGTGCGGCCACGATGAAACTTGTTAAACTAATTCTTGTCAGTCGCCATCGAAGGAGTAGAGTCACCGTACACCGCATCTTCGTTGATTTTGCTACGTGATTTTCCTTCCAGAAACAAGAATCGAATCACCGACCGATATTGCTTCTTTTCCATTTTTCTGAAATTCGCAGATACTCCCGCTTCCGCAAGTTTTCAAAACAAAACTACTATTCCGATTCGGCTGAAAATGACAGTAGCCGTCTACGAGAATGTACTACAAGATAGTAAATTTCTCTTGCGATAGTGGCGCGATTGGGCGGCGAGGCCAAGTGCTTATCGGACGGCCCTCGTATGCAGAAAGGTAGTTAAAGCAGTTAAAAGGCAGAAAAACCGATATAAGTCTTCGATAGCCTTTTCTGAAAGAAATTAAGATTTTTACTACTACTAAAAAGTTATTAATTGCCAATTATTGTTGCCAAAAATTATTGGAAAGCTATCATATGCAGGTTGATTTTCTTAGACCGTGCATTAGAAGTTTTCAAACTTATAGTTATTTTAGAAACTTCAAATTCAGTTTCCGGTAAAACAAGTCGTGCCGAAACCATGTAAAATAGATTTAGCTCTCCAGCTATACAGGGTGTATGAAAAATATAACCTAACTTTCTTATTTTAAATGTAAACTTCTGATTTTTTAGCGTGGTTGGATTGGCCTTAGAATTGCCAGTTTGAGCCACCCTAATCCTGTTAACTTATCTCTTATAGTTATTGCTGTCAATTGTTTAAGAAAAAAATGCTCTCCACATATGACTTAAGGGTACCCATTTTGAAGCCTCTGGGTGCATGCAGCCTACAAGCATTGATATAAAAAGTGTCGAAACTTCCAACCATGCTAAAGAAATTAGGGCTTAGCATTTGAAATAAGAAAGTTAGGTTATAGTTTTCGTACACCCTGTATAAAGTACACCCTGTAAAGGCTAAATCTATTTTACATGGGTTCGGCACTACTCGATATTACCGGGAACAAAATTTCATGTTTCTAAAACAACTGCAAGTTGTAAAACTTCTAATGCACGGTCTACGTAAATCACCTTGTATTTTAGACTTTCATACTATCTTGATTTTTTTAGATATAAAAAATTTTCGGGAAGAAGTGTGGAAACCTTTAATACGGGATCTAGAGTGACTTTAGCATAATGCTAGATAGTGTTATATGGAATATTTTCACGAATGCTAATTATGGAAACTATGGGTTTAAGAAAAATATATGTTGGTATCATTGTAACTGTGAAATGGAGTAGCAATGTGAATATATTTATAGGTGTTTGTTAATGTGGAGATATTTTAATTTACGAATATATTTTTATTTTTTAAATAAAAGGTCTTTGAGTTTGCACTAAAAATAGCAAAGTCCAAACGCACTGGTCGATGGACACTTTTTCTGCTGCAAATTAGATAATCCTATCCCTACACAGCCTTTATCGTAACTGAAAAATCGAATTATCCAAACGGAAACTTTAGATTGGGCTTTGGATATTTATGGAAAGGATAGTTGGTCATTCGTACTCGTTTAATACATAAATACAAATATCTTAAGCTATTAGAAAGACATAGTACACTATTAACATATAGCTTAATTTTTGTAGCTATTGGAATAATGTACTGAAGATCCTTTGCCATATCTAAAATTGTATTTATTTCAGTGCTCTGTTCGTATGGTTATTGCAGATTCATTTCCGTTTTTTGGCACCTAAAAAAGTTTAATGTTTATTGTAATATTATTCAGTCTGAAAAAAAACAGGAACTCTTTCTATGTAGGTGTGAAACATTTCGTTTTCAAAATTTCGTTTGTGACATAAAATATACAGGATTCTTCAAAATGGGAATAATTTATCGGAAAACATAGTGAAACGGCTGCTGGTACAAAAGATGGAACAAAAAAAACCTTTTACAAATAATTAATTGAACAGAATGAGTTAAAGTTCACACTATGAAAAGCACATCGTTTTCAAAGGCGAGTTGGTATCACAGCCACACATTATGTGTTATTTTGATGTCTAGTTACGTATATCTATTATACAAGACTCTCTAAATAAGTATTTCTTCTGAACGATTTCTTGATCTGTAGAAGAATAAGAAATAGATAAACGACATGCAAAAAATAAATCGTTATAAACTATAAAACTACTGATTGTTATAATATTGTGGTACCTAAAAATTCGTATTGGTTTTACTGATTAATGCATGACTATCAAATTCATTCAATGTTTTTTTTAAGACTCAATGATCAGAATGTGCACCTGGAACATTTTCAATGGCGCTTTACCTTGGTGTAAGTCGAAGTACAAATTTTATTTACTTGTCTATCCCTTTCAGTAAGTTTATTTATAATTTTAATTTTTTTAAGCTAGTTAAACTTGTATGGAAATAAAACATTAAATAAAGCGGCACACTAAAGAAAAAAGTTTATTATGCGTTATTACTCTAATTTGAAAAACTACTGAGAAACTTTAAGACGATTTTTTAAAATAATCTTTTAATAATAATTCGTTAATTATAAACTCTATTGCTTGAACTGAAAACATGTACGTTTAATAATTAAGTAATCCTTATATTATTGCTGTTTAAAACAATAGAAGTTTATGTAAAATTTCAGGTTTCTCTGGATAGAAGAAGTTATCATTCGTTATTGTATGATTGCCATTTTTAAAATAATTTAAAATAAAAAATATTTTATTCTGTAAATGATGAGGTTACAACAATGACTGAGAATGCGACAAAATTCATTTGAATTAATATGTTGGTCTATGGCAAATGTGTATGACACATGTATAATTGTTTATTAAAGGCAACCGGTCTTATCTGGTTCAGCAATACGATAATTTAAAATTAATACAATTGACGATATACGATAGCATCCTATATGTAAAACAAGTGTTTTAGCAATCGTAAAAATGATATTTCAACCCTTCAACAATAAACCATTTTTTACCTCAAAATCCGTTCATATTACAATAAGTAAAAAATTGAATTAAATTGTTGCGATTTGTGTTTCTAGTTTTTTTGCCGTATTCAATACTGCGAATGAAGGCATAATCCGTGACTGTAATTAACAAATGAGTAAAAAGAACAAACTCAAAAAACTAAAATAGTTCTTAGTGCGTTTAAATCAAATATGAATATAAGTTGCTGTTTACGACGAGACCCACAGAGCTGTACACACTATAAAAATAGCAATTCTCGCATAAGTTCCGAAGGTTTGCCGGCCTACATCCTACATCTACAGAAACTTTTCACTCTATTTAAAATTTTGCGTTTTGATCCTGTATATCATTCTCTCATTTTTTATCGACATGGATAATTGATCTTCACCTTTGCAGATACACTAAATATTTAATTACACTTACGTCCTTTTGCGTTTTCGAACCTTTATGTCTCGTGAAGTATTTCTCTAACTCTAATATTGGTATTTCGAATGCCATTGACCAGAATATTGACATTACGAAACTTAACGCAAAAATACCCCAGAAAGAATAAGCCTGAAACATTTATCAGATAAAATTATATGTAAAGTACGTATTTCTACGTAATGCCCAGTAGTAAATTAGAGTTATTAGGATACTTACCAGATCGAAGATCGAAAAGTATCTAGCTTGTTTCTGTGAATATGCTATTATATATAACATGGTAAGATGTAGTAAATACATGCTATAACTCAATCGGTTTAGTATTTGGAATACCGGCCATGATAAAATTGAATTTATTATCCCTAAAAGACAATAATAATATTTCAGCTCAACTTGAGGAAAATTGTTTGTGTGTAACCTATTTTGATAATGTTCAAAATACATGCCTCCGTATCCTATGGAACTAGCAAATATAATCCATGCTATACATAATCCCCATGCTGGTCTAGAAAATGCATTAAAAAACGAATTGTCCAACCTATGGTTTGTTAAACTGGTTTGAGTATCATAACCAGCAAATACACAGGCTGGAAGTACAGCTAATACTAAAATCCATATCACACCAATCAACCACTGTAAATGCACATGTTGGATTAGGTCAAAATGTTCATTTATTGTTATACTCACTTTTGGCATCTTCTGATATTCTATGTTTTTTTCTAGTTTTATTTTTGCTAGAACATAGCCAAGAAGTCCACCAATTAACCAAGGCGAGATGCGCGTATGAGTTTTAAAATAGTACGTGTTACTATAGCTCAAAAATTTCCTAAATCATAATGCTTGTATTACTGCAATGATGATATGAGGTAGTATTGAAATTTTACCCATTTAAGTTACTTGCGGGCAGTTCCTTATCCCATGTAATGTAAAATGAAGCGCCCATGGAAGCCATAATCCCACTGAACATGCTCAATAATCCAGTAATGGGATACTTTGGCAATAAAAGCAAGAATAAAGGGGAGACTAAGTAAACTTGCCAGTCTACATTCAGGTACCACGCGTGTTGCATGCACTGTAAAAGATATAAAATGTACCTAATCAGTATATCTACTGATCAAAAAATTCCAACTAAAAGAATTTATTCAGTTTATATTTTTTTGTATATTACAGGAAACATATTGTTTTTATGGATGTTATTTGAAAATCGAACAACTAGATCAGTTTTACGCGTTTTACAATTCTTAAAAAACAATTTTAAACAAAGGATTCCGATCTAGTTGTTCATTTTTGATAAATCTCATTGTATCTGTAGAATAAAAAAAACGGTTGTCCTAATCCGTTCCGGCGTATTTCCTAAATGTCTTTGATAGTTGTATGTTGGCATCTGCTATGCTAATGCAGCTGGAAAATAGTGGAAATTTTCCCTTGGGGCTGAAGATGTTTATTGTGTTTAATTCTAAACAGTTATTTGCGGTTAGTTACTAGGGGCAGCACTTTCTTTAAAAGACTGTAGGTTCGGATTCTCATACATCGGGAGCCGATTAAATGGACAATAATTTGAAGATTTATCAGGTCAGTTTAAGAAATGTCCAAAGTTGAGAAGAAATCAGGATTCTGTGCGATTTCCATGAAACGGTTCGAGATTTCAGATTCGAATCTCTTCTGAACATTGTTAAAGTTTCAACTCCCTGCGTTTTTGAGATCGCCTTTGTGTAAAAATTTAACTTTTTTTGGTCGACATTTACTCAGTTTGAACGCAATGATGCAATTCGAACCACATTTGCAAATCTTTCACTTTTAGAGTTGTTTCGAGTGTCTTTTATAAATTGTGAAAGTTTCAAGTGACTGCTTGCTCTAGTTTACAAGTTATGGTTGTTTTAAGTAGAAAGCGCACTTGCTTGAAAATTTTTATTTTTTCAATAGAGGGTGAAACATGCTGGAGGAAAAAAGTCAGTAAAAAAGAACGAATTTTTTAAAATAATCCGACGTTTTAGCAATATCGTGAGCAATTCCTTCCGGCTCAGAGTCTGCTGAAGAGCCTGTTCAAACAGACCGGTTAAATGAAGATCAGAAGGGCAGAAAGTTGGACAAATTTGTTTTTTTCTTTCATTTGGATTATTTGGATTATTTGGATAAGCAATTTGGGCGGTTGGATTGAAGTAATTTCTTCACGTTCATTTACATTTTTATTCAAATTGTCCAATATTAATGGCCAAGAAACAGGTTGAAAATGTGTATTTGATAAGGTTAAAATCATTTGTAATGGCTTCAGATTTAATTATTAAGTTTTAGTGCTATTTAAATATAATTTGCTGGATTTTGAGAACCACGCCTCTTCAATAGTGTGCGAAATGTTCATGTTGGTACTTGCTTCAGATTGGAAATTATAAAGTGGACAGTGTATTTTTGTGGAAATGTCCATTCGCTAAGTGAGCAAAAATCAGGAATCAATGTTACTTGAATGAAATTTCAGGAAATTTTACACGTTATTATAGCATATTATAAGCATCTGTTATCGAGATTAGAAGTTTCAAGTTGTTTCTTGCTGTAGATTAGAAGTTATAATTTTTTTATACCCCGAAAACAATTTAGACAAAATTTGCACTTTTATTCCAAATTTCGTTTAGTGACAAAAATGAAATGCCCATGTAAGTTCATTGAAATGTTTAACGATTTAGAATTCAAATATCTCCTGTAGAGCGTAAACGCTTCAAGTTCCTACCTGGTCTTGGCTAGCAGTTACGAATTTTTGAAACATAAAGTGCAATTCTGTGGAAGTGTCCCTTTAGAGGCACTCTTCTTCACATTCAGATTCACGTTTCTTCTATAGATTGTAAAAGGTTCAATTTGCGACGGGTCTGTATTAGGTTAACAATTTTTAAAGCATTGCCTTTCCGGCCTTTTCGTTGTTCTTTGTATCCCATTGTTGTCCTCTTCTGAGCGTACGCCTCCTTTAATTCTGTCCACGATGTTTTCTTTTGGGGTATGCGATACCATGCTCGTTCTGTTGCCTCTAACGTCGTCTAGCCTGTCTATGTCCTGACCTATAGTAACGTGTTCTGTGTACTCATAATTTAAGTTTTTGTTAATTAATCTTCATGCCTACTTGTTTCGATGCCTCGTTTAGTTGTTTCAACATGGTTTCTCGTGTATATTGTTACTAATCAACAGAATGTCATAAGCGAATTGGAGATGATTCAGATATTTTCCGTCGACATTGATACCATTTGTCTGCCAGGGTAGTTTTTTGAAAACATCCTCCATTGCCAGAGTGAACAGCTTCGGTGATATTGTATGTCCTATCAGTAGTTATGTCCTCACTTATATGTACTTGGAGGGTGGCATTTCTGTAGAAGATTGGTGTAGCGCGAATCTATTCTAGCATTTTCCATTGCTGCCCAAATAGCCCTTAGTTCAACGGAGTCAAATGCCTTCCCGCAGTCCACGATCATCGATCTTTTAAATCTTTATTCTTTGCGAAGCCTTGATGGGACTTCAGATCAACGAGCACTGGATAACTAAATCCAGGTCAATTTGCTAATGCTCTTTTATAGTGGCTCCTTTCCACAATAGAAGTTTTATTCACCATTCACTTTAATTTGTCGCAATTTTATTTAACTGCTTTTTAAAACCTCAACGATTCAAGCGTTTTTCATCTTTAACTTAAATTATTTCTATTGGTATTATTGCTTATTGAACGTATTACTCACTACATCCGGTAACCGAATTGCATAGTTTTGCACATGCAAAAGAAGAGCCCACCAACTACGCCTGCAAGGTCTACCAATGCTCGCGTCAAGTTCAGGATAGTACGGTCCGCTTCCAAAGAATGGCAGCAAAAACATGCAAGCTAACATAATTGGTATAATTGGAGGTGTGAGTCTGAAACAACATTTTTCCTTAAACATTTATATGATAATGTTTTATAATATTTACCTTATATATCGATGACGAAAGTATGTAAAAATGTTGAATTTTTTTCCTTGATGTTGGGATTTCATAAAGTTATAAACTACTAACAATCCAGTGACAACGAGAAAGCTGTCCACGGAAAAAGGCGCGTTAGCGATGATCAAACTTTTAATATCATCGGTCAGAAACTAAAAACGATTACCTGGACATTAAATTTGTAGATATTTTCTTTCAGCGAAACTGTACCTTGTACAAATCCATTGTATTTGATAAAGGACCATATAATGTAGTGAAGAATACATGACAAAACATCACCCACATCATGCTCAGTACTCGAATTCCGTTCAGACAAGCAAACTCTCCAGAATTTTTTGTGATTCGGAATAGTTTTCTTACATTAGAATGCATAGAGAATGCCATCAGAAGTTGATGAGGACTTTCTATGTAATTAAAAATAATAAAAAAATCAAATTTTATATATTCTGGAAAAGCTATTACTTTCAGTAAAGACGAAACCTATTGGAATATTTGTTGCAATAGCCGTTTTCCCACCGAATATTTTTCCTATCCGCGCGCCAAATAGATGCAGTACACGTGAGCATCACGAGAATTTAGATAAACGGATTTTGATAATATGTTTTTGCCAGCCAGGACAGAAGCCACATACCTTTGGATGGATTTTTACATTAAATCAATTTTTACTATTATTTTTCTTAAAATTAATTCTTTAAAATTAATTTAGTGTTGTTTTAATAAAAAAAAACTATTGGAACGTTATAATGAGTAAAAAATAAATTATCTATGCTTTGGAATACATATGAATACACAAAATATATTCTAAGAGAGATCAAAATATATTCTAAAAAAAAAAGACTTTATTTCCTTTTCGTATCAGTACATTTTAGTACCTAGAACGTTTTTTGTCCGAACTAAGATTAAAACAATACTAAACTTTTTTAGGGCTACTTTTAACTATTTTATGTACTTATCACACCAACATTTTAGTCGCAAAAAACCTCTGGCTATTTGCGTAAGCAATGGAACTTAATGACAAGGTTGTGACCAACGGTTCTTGTCCGGTGCTATATTCGGAGTGACCGAAAGATGCAGTAACCTTTTGGTCACGGCAAATATATTATTTTTAACTTCGCCGTAACTTTACGTTAAGTACCCCAACCTTTCGAACCGAAATAATAATTATCAAAATCAAGCAATCAAGCAACCACGCATTTATGTAAACCTTCTGAAAATTGATTTAAATGCATAACAGGGTGTATAGAAATACGCATTGACTAACGTGGGACTAATTTTACATGCTTTTTGTATTCCAGATTTCCTAAGCAAGATGTGTTCGAAAATCCTTCTTGTATAATATGTGTAATCATTAAACCTAATTTTATTGTTGCCTCTCGTCGTATTGTTGCCTCCTTGATATTGTAGAATTTGCGACCTTTAAAGAGCAGACATATAAAGGGTGTTCCAATAAGAAAGACGGTTTTGAATTGCTCGCCATTTGTAATGTCATGATTTGGAGCGGTTCAATACACAACAACGAATTCTCATTGTGAAAAAATATTATCAAAGTGGTGGAAGTTTTCAAGCCACAGTTCGCAACATGCGTACAATTATTGGCCATTGCAATGCTCCAACTGAAGTCACTGTGAGAAAATTAATGAAGAAATTTCAGCAAAGTGGGTTTGTTAATGAAGCGAAAACAGAAGCACGCTTTCGTCCTGTTCGCTCGACTGAAAATATGGCAGCAGTACGGTCAAATGTTGAGGAAAGCCCAACCACATCAATTCGGCATAGAGCTCAGGAAATTGGTGTTTCCACAACCGCAACAACTTTTGCGTGTCAAAATTGCAAAATATACAGGGTTGCTCATTAGTGCGTCAAAGTGCGATATCTCAGTAAATATGAACTTTACAAGAAAATACGTCCTACGAAAGTTTTTCATGTTTAAAAGGTCCACATTTTAAAATTACTTTCCAATATACGGGGTGTATCATAAACGTGTGGTAGTTACCAACTTTGGTTTTTTAAATGGAACCGCCCCTTTTTTCATTCATTTTCAGATTTGTCGTCAAAATTTAAGTTAAGTTTGTGTCAAACGTTTTACCTGAAAAATTTACGATTTCCGAGTTATTCGTAAAAATGTGAAAGTTTTGACAGCTACTGGGTTCCACAGAAATCGATGCTGTACACTACCCAC